AATATCCAGTGCTGATGCAAAAGGCACAGAGACGTGAGATAAACCAGATAAAGTGGACGTAGAAGATAACATCGGAGAGCGTGGATCCGCTCATACTTGGAGCAGTAAACCAAGCGGCGGGTGAATATGTTACACAGAATCTCCGCAAGTCAATGACTGATATCGCAAGGCAGCTCTAGACAGCACAACAATGTTATGAAGAAAGAGGCGAGAGAAGAAACCATCGGGGTGGAAAGCAAGCATAGAAAAAACGATAAGCTTGCTGAATTTCCACAAATCCTTCATAGAACGGATTTTGGACGGTGAAAAACTTGGAGGTATAGACTGAAAAGAAGAAATGTATGAGGGAGATGAATCTCATACTTGCTCTTAAGCGTGACTTCCATGAAGCGTTAAGCGTACTGACAGAACGTGTGAGAGTTTATGAAAGCAAAATTAAAAGTTATGAGACCCGATATGCATTCAAAATACAAAATGCCTGATTCGAGCTATTAAGAAGACGGTTTTATAGAAGTCTGACCGAAGAACAGCGCGTAAGCCACAATGTAAGAACTGAGGAAATCAGAGATTTTCGGGGTACGATGTGGAACTCCGGAATGGAAAAGTATGATGATATCCAACACATCGAATATCTGGAAGAAATTGTTCCAGATAATGAAGTGCATCATACTTTCCCATCTGATGCCGAATTTGAGAGATAGTCTCCCATTTGCCCAATTGGAAAGCGACAGGGCCTGATGGAGTTTATAACTTCTTTATCAAGAAGTGCACCTCCTTGCATCCAGACCTGTACAACATAGTAAGAAGGATTTGTCTAGATGGGGAGAAACAGGATCCGTGGTTCTATAGAGGTACTACCTTTTCGAAATTTGATTCCAAAAGGTGTTCCAAGTAAAAGCAGCGACTTCAGGCCAACAACTTGTATGTCGAACCTTCACAAGTTAACAACTAAATGTGTGGCACGCGTCATGTAGTTGGATATTGCCATGAGAAGGTTAATGCGGATAACCAATTAGGAACTATTACCCAGGTTCAAGATGCAAAGGAACAAGCAATGTTGAACCTGGCGGTTTGCAAAGAGTACGGGAACCGGCTTCACACTATGTGGTATGACATCAAAAAAGCGTTCGCTTCAGTTAACTACGATCTGATTAAGTGCATTGGAAGGCTTAACATGCTATCGTGGATCAGCAAGTTTCTGAAAAGCATCACTTCCAGATGGTTGGTTACATTGAAAAGCAATGGAGAAACTAAAATGGAGAAGAAAATAGAGCGAGAAATTCTGCAAGGTGATAGCCTTTCTCCGCTGCTATTCGTCCTGTGCATGGACCCGTTGAGTCGTCGGCTCAATATAAGGTACCCAAAGGTGGCGGTTCCAACTGATCAAGGAATGCACATTAACGAATCATTTATTATTTGTGGATGATCTCAAGATCTTTGTGACCGATGAGGATATCATGAAATCTATGGCAGAAGAAGTTGAAAGGTTCCTTGATGTGGTAGGACTAAAAGTAAATTCAGCAAAGTCGGCCACTAATACCGAGGTATGAGCTGATAAAGCAGCGCTAGATTTTTTGGAAGAAACTCAAGGGTATAAATACTTTGGAATAGTGGAAGACAGGACTAGTGCACCTACCCGTGAAAGCTAATATAAAGTGCGCGCAGAGATTTTAGTGAGAATTGAGCAGTTAGCCAAAACTGTACTAAATAACAAGAACTTTATCAAGGCAGTAAATGAGCACGCCATAAATTTAAAAAATTGTTACGTCGGGGTGCTCAAGCTCAGCCAGAAGACTTCTAAGCTATAGATCAGGATATCAGACAGTTACTAATTAAATACGGAATTCACAAGCAACCTGCATGCTTGGAAAAACTGAATCTGCCAAAGGACAAGCTATGACGTGGATTTCATAATGTTGAGCAAAAGAGTGAGCTTATGCTTCTCCATCTACATAAGGTTCTTGTAGATACCCAATCTATATGTACCAGAAGGGCAA